CAAATTTGGGGCTGAGAGAAAGAAAGAAATCTGAGGCGGTTAAATAAACCAGAAAGTGCAACAGAGGCTTTGACTGGATATTCCTGCATGGCTGAATGAGGTTGGACTGGATAGCCTTTGTGATGTCTTCCAAATCTGTGATTGTAATAAATAATAACAAAATAACTGTGAGTTCCTGCCTTTGGTTGGACTGGATAGCTCTTGTAGTTTCTTCCAACCTTGTGATTAGAAAAAAATACAAAAGATTGAGGGATGGGTTGGATGGCCCTTGAGGTCACTTCCATTTCTGTCATTCTAATAAATAACAGCCACAATAATAATAGATTGGGTGTCCCTGTAAAGCAAAATGGAGTTGAACTGGATGGTCCTTGGGGTGTCTCTTCCAATGCTGCGGGAAGGGGAGGGGGGCGATGAAGGGAGAGGAGCTGATAGCAGAGACAGGGGGAGAGGAGGGAGGGCAAGAAGATATTATAGTGAGGGTGTATGTGAGGCCTGGTAGGGAAGGAGGGAGAAGTAGAGAGAAGGGAAGTATCCATGAACCATCTATCTCTCCCTGTGAACAACCATGGAGGTTAAGATACTCTGGGGAGGCTCTACTCTCAGTCCCGCCTCCGTCTCAAGTATGGTTGGTAGGGGCGAAAGACAGGGTCCTCTCAGCGGTGGTTCCTCGCCTCTGGAACTCCCTCCCCAGCAAAATTAGATCAGCGAACAAAGACCTGGTTGTGGGACCAAGCCTTTGGCTAGTTACAATAATGCAGGACAAAGAATAATTAAGGAAGATGTGCAATGACAATTGGAGTGGCTATGGTGTACAATTTTTAGATCATGTGATTTTAATATTTATACTAGGATGATTTTAATGCTTTGTCTGAATGTTTAAGTTTTGTTTATGTCTTATGTTTAATGGTTTTAATGATTTTAGGTCAGTTATATGTAGTAATTAATTATTATGATTTATTTGTTTCACTGTATGTTGGCATTGAATTTTTGCCAGTATGTTGTAAACTGCCTTGAGTCCTCCAGGGGTTAAAAGGCGGTATATAAACATAATCATTGTATATTATATATTGCATGTAGTATTACTAATAATGTTGCAGCATAGTGGTATAGTACAATATAGTAATATATAATACTAATATTGTGCTATACTAATAATATAATATATTGTATATACAGATAATATTGATCATAATACTGTAATACAATACTAATAATAATACAATATAATTATATATTTTAGATTACATGTAATATTGCTAATAATATTGCAGTATACTGGTATAATACAATATAGTAATATTGTGCTATGTTAATAGTATAATATATTGTATGCACATATAACTTGTAAGCTGCTCTGAGGGCAGCATATAAATGTCTTAACTAAATTTATTTAATACATACAGTAAGTAAATAAATAAGTTTGAAGCCCTTCCAGATAGGCCCTATATCCCAGGATCTGAACCAAGGTTATCTGTTTATCCCAGATTATCTGGCAGTATGGACTCATATAATCCAGCCCTATGAGGAGCAGCTTAAAGAGACTGGCTATGTTTAGGCTTCAAAATAGAAGACTGAGAGGAAACATGATGGCCATATATAAATATGTGAGGGGAAGTCACAGGGAGAAGGGAACAAGCTTGTTTTCTGCTGCCCTGGAGACTAGGATGCGGAACAATGGCTTCAAACTAAAGGAAAGGAATTCCACCTGAATATTAGGAAGAACTTCCTGACTATGGGAGTTTTTCAGCAGTGGAACTCTCTGCCCTGGAGTGTGGTAGAGGTTTCTTCTTTGGAGGCTTTTAAGCAGAGGCTGGATGGTCGGGGATGCTTTGAATGTGATTTTCCTGCTTCTTGGCAGGGGGCTGAACTGGATGGCCTACAAGGGCTCTTCCAACTCAATGATTCCAGGATTCCATGAAAGCAGAAACCCTGGGATCAGATCTGTCTGGATAGGCCCTGAGCTGGCTAAATAAACCAGAATGCAGAATGGGGGTGATATGAGGAGTGGGGGCAGAGGCTACGAAGCCAAAGGAGCTGAGGGGGCAGAGGAAGGAGGAGAAAATAAAGGGAAGGATGTGTGTGGGAAGGTCTGATAGAGAAAGGCGGGGAAACTGTAGGGAGAAGAAAACAAGGAAATAAAAGTGTGTATGTGAGAGGAGGCCTGATCCCTAAGGGGAGGTTGGAGGGAGAAAACACAAAGGGGGGGGGGGGGGGGGTGTGTGCAGGGTAAAAAGAGGGTTAATAAAAGTGAGTAAGTGAGAGAGAGAAGGCCTGATGAGAAAGGGGAAGAGGATGCTGACAGGAGAAAAGGGGGAAAATAAAAGTATGTGTGTGAGAGAGAAAAGTCCTGATAGGGAAAGGGGGGAAGGCTGGAGGAAGAAAAAAAAAGGGGGGGGGGTTACAGTATGTGTGTGAGAGAAGGCCTGGTAGGGAAAGGGGAGGGGAAGCAGGAGGGAGAGAAAAAGGGGGGAAATAAGTGTGTGTGTGTGACAGAGAGACAGAGGGCCTAATAGGGAAAGGGGGAAGAGGACGCTGAAGGGAGGGAAAAAAGGAGGAAAATAAAAGTGTGTGTATGAAAGCGGAGGCTTGATAGGGAAGTGGGGAGAGGATTATAAAGGGAGAGAAAAAAAGGGGGAGGCAGAAAAGTGTGTGTGAGAGAAGGCCTGATAGGGAAAGGGGGAGGCTTGAGGGAGAAGAAAATATGGAAATAAAAGTATGTACGAGAGAGAAGGCTTAATAGGGGAAGGGGAGAAAGGGAGGCTGGAGGGAGGAAAAAAGGAGAATATAAATATGTGTGTGAGAGAGAGAAGGCCTGATAGGGAAAGGGGGAGAGGACGCTGGAGGGAGGGAAAGGGGGGCTTGAGGCAGAAGAAAATATAGAAATAAAAGTGTGTAGGAGAGAGAAGGCTTAATAGGGAAAGAGGAGGCTGGAGGGATGAAAAGGGGAGAATATAAAGTATGTGTGTGAGAGAGAAGTCCTGATAGGGAAATAGGGGCTTGAGGGAGAAGAAAATATAGAAATAAAAGTGTGTAGGAGAGAGAAGGCTTAATAGGGGAAGGGGGGAAAGGGGAGGCTGGAGGGAGGAAAAAAGGAGAATATAAAGTTTGTGTGTATGAGAGAGAAGGCCTGATAGGGAAAGGGGGGCTTGAAGGAGAAGAAAATATAGAAATAAAAGTGTGTACGAGAGAGAAGGTTCATAGGATGGGGGAAAGGGAGGGGAGGATTCCGGCAACCCGGATCTCTCCCCGTGTGTGTGGCTGTGAGCGAGCGAAGGCCGCTCTGGATACGGGGGCTGACGGGAGACGAACCTCTCGACCTCCACGTTGTGTCGCGCGCAGGCTCCGTTGAAGTGGGTCCTTGCTGTCTTTCGTTAGTATCCCGGGCACTCCAGTCGTGATCCCCTTGTGCGGCGCCGTTGCGGGCCCGGGGCGAGGCCGCTGGCGGGCGGGCCGGGGGGGCTGCGGGCGCCGCACCTCTGGCATCCAAGTTGTGTAGGAGAGCAGGTCCTAGTGGCAGGGTGTCCAGGGCGGTGGGCGGGCTTCTCCCAGGGTGACTATCCCGTAGTGTCCTGTGCGCGAATTCTGCTTCGGTCCCCCTGGGAGCCGCTTGGCGCTGCGTGCCCGGGTGGGCCTGAGGCGCCGCCCCCCGGGCCCTCCAACGGTTCTTGCGCGAGGGGCCTCCTCGGGAACATGGGCGCACTGCGGAGCTGTGCACCCCGGCGCCTCTCGCCTCCCGGGTTGGCCGCGGCCTCTGGGCATCACGTCCCCCTTGCCGCAGCCGGCTTCTTGCCTTAAATGCACCCCTGACAGATGGCCATCTAGCCTCTGTTTAAAACCCTCCAAAGGAGCCTCCACCACACTCCGGGGCAGAGTTCCACTGCTGAACGGCTCTCACAGTCAGGAAGTTCCTCATGTTCAGATGGAATCTCCTTTCTTGTAGTTTGAAGCCATTGTTCCGCGTCCTAGTCTCCAGGGAAGCAGAAAACAAGCTTGCTCCCTCCTCCCTGTGGCTTCCTCTCACATATTTATACATGGCTAGCATATCTCCTCTCATGTGTGTGTGAGAGAGAAGGCCTGATAGGGAAAGGGGGGCTTGAGGGAGAAGAAAATTTGGAAATAAAAGTATGTAGGAGAGAAGTGACCTAATAGGAAAAGGGGAAACTGGAGGGATGAAAAAGGGAGAATGTAAGTATGTTTGTGTATGAGGGAAGACCTGATAGGGAAATGGGGGCTTGAGGGAGAAGAAAATATAGAAATAAAAGTGTGTACGAGAGAGAAGGCTTAATAGCGGAAGGGGGGGAAAGGGAGGCTGGAGGGAGGGAAAAAGGAGAATATAAAGTGTATGTGTGTGAGAGAGAGTGAGAGAGAAGGCCTGATGGGGAAAGGGGAGCTTGAGGGAGAAGAAAATATAGAAATAGAGGAAGGGAAAAAGGAGAATATAAAGTATGTGTGTGTGTGTGAGAGCGAGAGAAGGCCTGATAGGGCAAGGGGGAGCAGGGAGGAAGCAGGCCGTGAGCTCCTCTTCCTTCCTTCCCGTCCCTTTCCTTTCCCTTCCCCGCCTCCCTCTTCCTCCTCTCCTCCTCCTCCCTCCCTGCTGCAGAAACTACGCCATTGCGGCCTAGTGGCGGAGCCAGTCAGGAGATGAGAGGAGGAGGGAGGGGGAAGAGAGAGAGAAGGGGGCGGGGGGAGGCGAGAGGGAGCGCGCGCGGCCTCCTTCCTCCCTTCCCCTCCCCCTCCTTCGCTCTGCTCTTCTCTCTTTTCCCTCCCGGGCGCCATCTTGGACGGGTCCGCCGCCATCTTTGTTTCTCCCCCTCCCTCCTTCCCTCCCTCCCTCCGCCGGAGGGAGCCGGGCAATCAGGGGAAGGCGCAGCCCAGTCCCCGCCATCTTTTCGGGGGAAGCCGCCGCCATACTGGCTTGCCCTGGCGAGACGAACATGGCGGCGCCCATCACACACCTCCCAACATGGCCTCCCTTCAAAACAAAACGGCCCTCCACTCACCCGAGGCCCACATGGTGACCGAGAACTCCCCTTCCAGGGTCTTGATCTGCACTTGCTTCTGCTCCCATTTCCTCCCGCCGCCTCCGCCTCCTCCTCCGCCGCCTCCTTCGGCCCCTCCGCCTCCGCCAACGCCTCCTCCTCCTCCGCCGGCAGCCAAGTAGCTCTTCTTGCTGCTCTTCTTCCCGCTGCTACTCCCGCCTTTCTTGACCCGGCTGGAGGAGGGCGCGGAAGAGGAGGCGGCGGCGGCCCCGGAGGCGGCTTTGCTCCCGGCGGCGGCGACGGTGACGAGGGTCTGCTCGATGTACTCGTCCTCCCCGGAGGGCGCCGGGACGGGGATGAGGATCTGGTCCTCGAAGCCGTCGTCGGCGCGGAGCCCGTCCGAGTCGTCGCCGCCCACGACCTCCTCGCGAGTCTGGACGAGGATGACCTCCTGGTGGTGCGGGTGGTGGTGCAGGTGGAGCTGGGCCCCGCCGCCCACGCCCACGCCGCTCGGGTCCCCGTCGCCCACCAGCGGCTGGAGGGCGATCATGGGCGGGTGGTGGTGGTGGTGGCGCGGGGAATGGTGGTGGTGGTGGCGGCGGTGCGGGGGGTGGTGCGGGCCGCACTCCTCACAACACTCCTCTTCGTCGTCCTCCTCATCCTCCTCGTCGTCGTCCTCTTCCTCCTCGTCGTCGTCCTCCTCGTCGTCCTCGCCGCCCACCACAGTGGTCTCGATGGTCTCCACCGGGATGGTCTCCACCTCGATCTCGTGCAGCTCCACGATCTCCGCCGGCATTTCCGAGCCGTCCGTGGCGATGAAGAGAGTGTCCCCGGAGGCCATGGTGAGGGCCGCGCGGGCAGGCCGCCTCACAGCCTCCTCCTCCTCCTCTTCTTCCGCCGCCTCCTCTTCTTCTTCTTCCCACACCAACACCACCAGCTTCTCGTCCGCTCGAGCTCCAGCCGTCGCCGCCACCGCCAAATCCCGCCCGCGCCGCCTCGCGAGACTACCGCCGAGAGAGACAGGCGCCCCGAGCCTGCCTCATCCAGACCCGCCATCCAGACCCGCAGCCGCCGGGACACGCCCCTTCTCCGCCACCCGCAGCCAATGGCGTGCGAAGGAGGGGTTTCCTCTCCCCACCCCCAAGGACACGCCCACTCCGCCTGGGTCTGTGCCAAACGGTGTGTGCGGCCTAGGCCACGCCCCCTTTTCCCATCTTCTGCTAGCCTCATACTCCTCGGCTTGAGTTTAAGGCCCAAGCCATGCCCCCTTCCTTTCTCAGCCAATCGCCTCGTCCGCTTGGGTTGGAAAGCGCCTGCGCGTGGCGTCTCGCGGACGGCCGTTGGGGCGGCCGTTGGCCCCGCCCCTTTTTCCTAGCTCGCGCCTGAGAGAGAGAGAGAGAGAAAGGACATTCCTGGCGGAGGAGAAGCGGGAGGGGGTCGCGGCTGAGGGGCTCCGAAAGCGGATGAGGCCTGGGCCCTTGTGCGAAGCCGGATTGTGGGGCGGGAGGCCGAGGCTCTTAGAAGCTGTGTCCGCTTCCTTCTTCGGCCACGAGGGAAAAGGCCCAGTTGGGGCCTGCGTTTACGCTCCCTCCCTTCCTTTCCCCACCCCTGCTTCCAATTTCCTACTAACCCGAATTGTTTCTCGACCTATGTATTGTCGAAGGCTTTCATGGCTGGAATCACTAGGTTCTTGTGGGTTTTTTCGGGCTATAGGACCATGTTCTAGAGGCATTTCTCCTGACGTTTCGCCTGCATCTATGGCAAGCATCCTCAGAGGTAGTGAGGTCTGTTGGAATTAGGACAATGGGTTTATATATCTGTGGAATGGCTGGGGTGGGGCAAAGAGCTCTTCCTTGCTGCAGCTAGGTGTGAATGTTTCAACTGATCACCTTCATTAGCATTTGAAGGCCTGCCTGAGCCTGGGAAAATCTTTTGTTGAGAGGTGTTAAGATGTGCCTGGTTGTTTCCTCTCTGCTGTTTTGCTGTTGTAATTTTAGTGTTTTTTAATACTGGTAGCCAGATTTTGTTCATTTTCATGGTCTCCTCCTTCCTGTTGAAATTGTCCACATGCTTGTGGATTTCAATGGCTTCTCTGTGTAGTCTGACACAGAGACTACACCGCCTTTCTCGACCGCCTGAAAGAATCAGGACTGCTGCATTTTATGTTACCAGGGTTGAATGAAAGGTAATGCCTCCACCTTCCTAACTCCTCAACAGATGGCAGTACTGGTATGTGGCGGGTACTGGCTTGTTCAGTAGACTCTCCTCTACAGTTCCATTTTGGCAGGAAGCCTTAGCAACAGGCCCGTAGCCAGGATTTCAATTCCGGGGGGGGGGGGCTGAGTCTGAGTGAAAGAGGGTCTACCTAGCAAACCTTTTGTATCGTTACCCCAATACCCCCATGCATATGGGATATATTGAGTATGGTGATCAGATCATGATATGAATAAACATAACAGTTTAAATAATGCACCAGTAAGGCCTTTTCGTGAACCACCATGTCTGCTTAGCAATGAACAGTTGTGTTGTTAAAGTGTGAAGTATGGAACCCTGCACAGTCAATGCGACTTAAGCAATGTGCAGTCATTCAATTGATGATAGTATGATAGCTGGGTCCAGAAGCTCCGAGCGTTACGCACATTCCGCAACGGCGGTTGTGAATAAGGGAAGGGGAGAGCGGCACACTGAGGGTGGGAATATAATTCAATTTGGTGGATGGATACTCTCTTTTTGCTTTCACAATTTTCCTACTTTTCTATCCTCTTGAAAATATTCTCCCACTTTCGCTGTAACTTATAATACTTCAATAAAAACTATTTCAAAAAAAATTGGTGGAAGGATAGGAAGGAGGGGAGAGTTAGAATAAGATTTAGGGTAGGGTTAGGATTAGAATAAGGGTAAGGGTTTGGGTTAGGTTTTTACTGTTAAAGAATTCCTACATTCCTTCTGTAATATCTGTATTCCGTTCTGTGTTGCGCAAAAAGCTCAGAAGGAGCGAAGCGGAAACAGCATAAGGCTCAGAGCTTCCGGACCCAGCTTTCATACTATTACATTGAATTCTTGACAGCAGAAGGTGTCACCCCAAAGGAGATTCATCAGAGAATGCAAGCTGTTTATGGTGATTGTGTTGATGTGAGTACTGTGCATCGTTGGGCAAGTAAGTTTAAAGATGTTGAGGTGGGAACATATGACTTGCGTGACAAACAAAGAGTTGGACATCCTGTGACAGCAACCACCGAGTTTCACAAGCAAAAGGTTGACAGATTGATTCAGGCCGGTCGTGGTACCACTCAGAGAAATTTCAAACATAATCGGCATTTCACAAGAATGTGTGGGTCACATTATTGCTTTGCTTGGCTATTGGAAGATCTGTGCACGATGGGTACCCAGGATGCTGATGCCTGAATTGAAAGCGCACAGACTTGAAATTTGCTAGGAACTCTTCTCGCGTTTTGAGAATGAAAGGGATGCCTTTCTCCATTCAATTGTGACAGGAGATGAAACGTAGGTACACCATTACTCGTACAACCCGGAGATGAAGGGTCAGTCTATGGAATATTGACACAAAGACTCGCCCCAGAAAAAGAAATTCAAGACACAGCCCTCAGCTGGAAAAATCATGGCAACACTGTTCTGGGATGTAGAGGGTGTTATCCATGTTGATTACCTTGAACGTGAAACAACAATAAATTCAGAGCGTTACATCACAATGCTGCGAACTTTGAAACGACAGCTAACAAGGGTCCAAAAGGAAAGGGGAAATGTTTTCCTGCAGCATGACAATGCCAGACCACACACTTCGCATACCACCACAACAGAACTTCAGAGACTGACACCACCGTACAGCATCCTCCATACAGTCCAGATTTAGCACCATCTGACTTCCATCTGTTCCTGATAATGAAAGGGGACATCATTAAGCTTCTGATGAAGATGTTGAGAAAACTGTGAGATGCTGGTTGCGGAAACAGAGTGTCGACTTCCGTGACGGCTTTAGAAAACTTGTTCATTGTTGGCAGAAATGTATCCAATTGTCTGGTGATTATGTGGAAAAGTGATTATTCACAGTTAAAGAGCACATTCTAAGGATTATTTCTGCGTTTGATTTATTAAAATATTCCCATCCAAACCCAAGTAATGAAGGTGGAGGCATTACTTTTCATTCAACCCTCGTACTTGGGTTTATTACTATTACTTTGTTTACAATTGTCTTATGTTTTTGAATGTTATTTGTTATATTTACAGGCTGTTTTGATTATTTCAGCCAACACTCTGAATTCTTGTTCCTTGCAGGGTCTGTGACTGTAATCCTAATCACACTTGCTAAGAAGGGTTTATCCCAGGCATGGGCATAATTTGGGCCCTCCAAGCGGCAGAGGGGGGAAAGGAAGGGGTCTGACGCTGCTAGGAATTGTGGGAGTTGCAGTTCAAAACACCTAGAGGAAAGGCCCAAGTTTGCCCCTGCCTGGTTTATTGCAAGTAACACCCCACCTTGTGGGGGCCTCAGTGTTGTCAACCCATTCCCCCACATGCACATGCATACACTGTAATGAGTTGCCAATGTAAACTACTTAAGTACAGTTAACCCATTTCACCAATAATGAAGAGATAGGTATATTGCATTACAATTACAATCCACCCAAAGGTACACTGGATATAAGGTTTATCTACTTTTATGGTTACAGAGGTTTTGTCTCACTAAATGAAATGGCAAAGAACATTTATGCGTGTCCTTAATTGTGCTGTTATTCATGCTACTGTTGCGGATGTTGAGTTGAGGGAGAACAGAAATGCAGTATGTTTTGTAACAGACCAGCGGTTTGTGGAATCCTGTTTTTCTTTTGGAAAAGGCAAATAAAAACAAACTCTTGGTTACTTTGAAACAAGGTGTTACAGTGTAGATCAGGCGTGGGCAAACTTCAGCCCTCCAGGTGTTTTGGACTTCAACTCCCACAATTCCTAACAAGTTTGCCCATTCCTGATTTTGTGTGTGTGTTTACACACAAACACACACACTTTAATTCCCTATATATATTATATATTATATTATATGTGATGTTATATTCTTGTGGAGCATGAATTTTGTAGACCCCAATTTCCTAATCTGTGTTGCCTTCCAGCATTCATGAGGATTTATGATAATGGTGGAAATAAATGTGTCACTGGACAATAACTTCCAGCATTTCTCACTAGTCTCACTGGTAGAGTTCTTCAGACATTTCATGCCCATGATCTGAATCCTTTGTTTGCTATCCCCAAACAAAGTCGGCCTGGCAAATCAATGGATATTATGTAAATATTGTGTACTAGTTTCCCATTATTCTCCAATAAATCCAAGTCATAAAACCACAGGATTTCTTTGCACAAGCAGCAGTTCCTTCTCCCTGTAAACATCACAACAGAACCAGCACTACTTGCCTGAAACTTTGCTCACTGCAAGTCTCCATTTGGGAACTCTTTGGCAAATTTCTAGAAAGTGCAGGTAGGATTGCCTTGACTGCAATAAGGCGAGTGCTGTGTCCACCAGGCAGAGTATCCCTTAATGAAGAGGTATCTTCTCATAATCCTATATTTACTCGGACATGAATTGCAGCTCATTTTGTTGACACTTTCATATTAGTAAACCCACATGGGATTATGACTTGAGGCCTAAATCCAATTGTAAATCCAAAGGTTTTTCCACTAAATCACTAGGAACTTGTTGAGTGCTTTTGATCATAGCTGTTCAATTTAAGCCATGGATGGGCAATGTGAAAAGGTGTTCCTGATTGCAGCTCCCATCAGCCTTCTGAGCAGGGCCAGTGAGTGCTAGTTGTGGCTATTCTCCCATTCACAATTTTGTGTGTACCATAGCATCACATATAGTGTGTATATAAATATACATATTTATTTGTTTATGACATTTATATGCTGCCCTTCTCACCTCGAGCAATATATTATATT